TCGGCAAACTGTGAAATAATACAAATTGCACATAAGAGTATATACAATATAAATTGTTTAAACAATGTTTATTCGAGTAACGTGTCTGGTTTTAATAACATTTCAAAAGAAGTGAGATTTATATTATAAGGACAAGAGGTTGCTTTTTTTTCTAAATGCACCAATGTAGAAAATATACTTGTTTTTACTTGCGTTCCTTGACCGGACTTGCTGCTATGTTTCATCCAATTACACTTTTTGGTGTGTGTTTTTGTGTGTGGTAAAGAAGAAAAAGAAATAACAGTTATTAACAATAAATATTGTTATCGTGTTGGCGTTCCTGCGCAGATAGATTTAAAATCTATAATAAAAATATAGTGGATATCTCAATCCCCCCCAAAAAATTAATTTGTCGCTTAGTCTTAAACTTGTGTTTATAAGGGTGCTCAGAAATTTTGTTATTTACTAAATACATTTTATGCAACGAAAATGTAATTTATAAGAAGAACAATGCATCTTATTTACACAGATTGCTTTCTAAACACATTTATTGTAGTTTAAAGACACATTACTGTGAGTAGCCTTGCTGTGCTCTGCTATTCAATCAGACACACTAACATTATAAAGCTCCTAAAGGAGGGACATTATGATAGAAAAGAAGGACAGAGAAATGTGAGCCTAAAATAGGGACTGTCCTTCCTAAATACTGACACTAAAGAGGTATGCGTCTATATACTATAGGGCATACAGTAAATATACTCTCTGGTGCCATTCACTGTACAATATCTAATCTACAGCCTTTTGCTTTCATCAAAGGGTTATTCAATAAAGTTAGAATTGTCAAGAATTCAAAGTGATTTTTAGGTCAATATTGTAGAACTCAAAAAAGGAGGCTTGGAGAATTGTTCTTGGAGGCTTGGAGAATTATGCTAGTTTAACATGCAACATTCACTTTGTATTTATTTATCATTCTCATCAATTCACACTTTAGAGAATAACTTTAAATCTCTTTTACAGCAATCAGGAAAGAGTAGAGGTAGGCTTTTACAGGAGCCCCAACCCTCAGTCCTTCTGCAAATAGCAGAGAGATTGAAAAGTGTCACTGGCACATTGTAAAGAAACTGGGGACTTTTCATTTAGATTTCAAATTGGATATTATTTTATACATTTGATTTGGAGGTAGGGGCTGTAGAGGTGGGGTATCCAGACTAGACTGTCCCTTTAAAATAGTTTTAATGAATTAGTTTTATTCTGATATTGTAAAGTAACAATATTCTAAACAGTTGTGCAATTATTAGATTAACTTGTATTTCAATGCACCAAATTTAATTATAAAGTGATTGTATTCTAAGCAAAACTCCTAGAAATCATAAAAAAAATTGTAAAAGATAAAACTATTCTATTAAGTCATGAATGCATATTCTTTCTGCTTTCTTTGCTTGACATCTGTCCATACAGATGGTAATACTTTTTCCTGTTCTCTCTTATTTTCTCCTTACTCTCCTATTCACACTTTATAAATCATCTAATAAATCCCATACTGTTATATAAACCACAAGTCCTAAATAATCTTAATAAATAAATGCATGGAAAATATGCGCTAGTTTTATATACACAGCCTAATAATTTTAAGATGTAATCAGAATCACTACTTGGAGAATCTGCTGTTTATCATTATAGCTTGATTAGCATGGACTTGTGTTCCACTGTACAGATTTATAGCCCTCCTTATGTTCCTTAATAGTGATCGGTTCCCAAAGTTCTTGCTTTGCCCATCTGTAGCCTGTATAGACTGCTGCTTTTTTCTGTTGCTTTTTGTGAGATATGTTTGTTATTTCCCTTCAGACACTATTAAAGATCAGATTGTTCCTTTCAAAGTCTCTGAATGATGATCAGTCAAGTCAAACACAGTAACAGTTCTGCTGGTCTTTAATGCATATCCTTGTTTTATCTCGAATGTGCAGCAGCTCTTTTTCAAATGCTTACAATTAATAAAGATGAACAGGTTTTCAGAGAATCTACAAGGTACCTTATTCTTTTTTGTAGTGTACCATTGAATACATATACATTGTATGAATAATAAAACCAAAATTATTTTTAAATGGAGACTTAGTAATCAGTTTTTATTAATTAGTAAAATTAGCTGAGTGACCTATTCTTTAAGTGTTATATATTTACTATTAAAATAAATTTGCTAAGGGGTGGAGCCTAACTAGCAAGGCAGACGGTCGCAAGATCTCAGAGCTCCGGGCTGCACGAACCTAAAAAGCCCAAATATTACAACTTATAACCACACAGGTTGGATGAAAGGGGATCCCCCAGCTTACTTGGGCCCCATCGGATGTAAAACGAAAAAACATAAGCCAGACAAGCCCCAAATGGGCAGGAGTATCGTCGATCTGTGGCAGCAAGCTCGTGGCGCTCCTAGGCCCAAGATAGCTTCCCTCACAGGAGATTGCTCTGACCTCTCTGATGAGATGTCCGACGAAGCAGACGAGCTATACATATCCGCTTCAACAACTCTACCGCCGACTCCATGGCCATACCCAGACGCAGCTCTAGTAATCACATCGGTCCTCAAGGAGCTCCTTGCAGACTTGCAAATGATCATACTGGCTGACAAGGCCACGATCCGCAGGGACCTACAGGGATCAATGGGCCGACTCGGAGTGCTAGAGCACACATTCAGCACTAGCATGCAACAAATTACAGTGCTCCAACAAACTGTCCAGGAGCTTCAGCAGCAGAACCAAACAAATGAGCAATGCTTTGCCGCCCAGGAGCATTTAAGGCACAGAAACACTTTCAAAATCCGGGGGGTATTGGAGACCATCCCAGAAGCGGAGTTACCTAATTTCATGCTGAGATTGCTGGAGGCCTTACTGACACCCAAACAGGCCAAAGCATTGGGGATTGATGGACTGTTCCGTACACCCAGACTGGCCAAAGCACCACTGCAACTAGGGACCTGGTGGTCCAATTCCCACGCAACAAAGACAAAGCAGTGGTCATGGCCACAATAAAAGGGAAATCACCATACGTCTTCGAGGAAATGTCTCTGAACTTTTACGCTGCTCTCTCCAGCAGTACCTTAGCATGGAGCTGATCACTTCGCCTGCTCACTACCCTCCTCCGTAAGCAAAGAGTCCGTTACTGATGGCACCTCTCTCACTAACTGACAAAATTCCACGGGGACACACGTCACACAATCCAGAACCTCATTTGTCGCTTAATATGTACCCGTTATTGTTAGAACAGGTTAACAAACTCCTACTCACTGTGGTGGCTATCCCACGCTCCGATCACAACCCCCCCCCCAATGCCCTGAGGTCAAAGGGCATAGTAAACGATGGAGCACCGCTCCCAATACCACTAGCTTATGGAAATCACATAGACACACTAAGGAGCAATATCGGGCTAAACTTTGTATATACATAGACGCCCATGCTCCACATCAAACCCCATCTCCAAATAGACGACTTCATAACACCCAGCCCTTACACCACGACACAATCTAATCGACTACTCAAAGAGACAGGTGGCTTACAAGCCCAAACCCTGTACCAGTGACACACTACCACCCAGGTGTTGAACCATTGCACCGCTCTCCTTAGCCTCCATACACGCTCATGGTTAAGGCGGTCGACTTGTTATATATAACTAACCCGTTAACCGAAAATGTGCATAGTTTGTTTTAGCTTAAATCGCAAAATGTTTGGAGTACGGTTATCTTACTATATTTCATGCATATGCTATTGTGGCATACCCAGACAAGTATGTATATCTAATAATGCATTGAAAAATAAAGAATTAAAAAAAAAAAAAGATATTGATAATAAACGTAGGCAAAAATACTTTACAATGCTTGAGCTACTATAAGTTGCAGAAGACATTGAAAACTGGAATCTATCACCTAAATTGGGCATCGTCTACAAATTTTGCCAGACCACTCATGCATTATTTTGCAAGCAACTTAAGGTCCATTGCAGATGGCAAATATTGTTTGGGCTATCCTTTTGCCCATATTGTCAGCAGTAAATGATCCACCTACCCTATTCACACCAGGAATGCATCTCTTGGGGCTTTGGATCTCCCTTAATGTTTAGTTGACAACTGATACACATTCCCTGAGATGACCACTGTGCTATCGGCAAGGGACAACCTTCTCACAAAAGTCAGCACGCCTTCTCAAAATCGTTGTAGGGGACTTCATCTTCCCTACTCACTTCATTAGACACTGAACTTTCTCAAGCTTTTGGAGAGATCCACCCAAATCTAATTTACTGTCACCATTACTGGTTTACTCCTTCATCTGACAAGCTATTACATAAAATGTATGTTTTGTTGTTGACCAACAACAATATTTCTATTAGTTTATTTCCAGTAACTGTAGCTAATTGGAATGTTGTTGTGCGCCATGATGTCCCCACACCCCTCCAGTACAATAGTCTTCTCTGGTACACTTAAAAAGGCTATTAATAGCGTGCTATTACTTTAATACATGTGCTAAATTAATACACCTAAAGAATGATGAGAAATATGGGATATCTCACCCGACATTTAGGGTCCCATCCATTGACTGAACTGGATGGACAGCCACATAATAAGACATATTTTTAAGCTCATATAACATTTGTCTGACATGCATTATTTTTTTTATTTTTTTTTAAAGGTTTTATTGCAAATGTAATATTCGAACAGCTGTTGGATCAGTGCTTAGTGACCAATAGACAGCTAGGATAAATGGAAAGAGGGCCTCAACCTAAGGGTTACAGACCATCAGAAAAGATTACAAATGTAGAGACAGAAAATTATAGGTCCCACCACACAAATAATATGATATACTAAAACTAATGCTTACTTACATAAAATGCTTTAAAGAGAACAAAGTCCTGAATAAAAGTATATAAATAAAATAGTCCAAGTTGATTGAAGAAATGAGTGAATACAGTAGATCTAATAGGTTCTATTTGAGAGCTAGAGCCAGCTCATGTGTAAACAGCATTCAGTGGCGTTGATCCCCCACTGGTAGGAAATAGGTGTTGGTAGGTGGTGAAGATCCTCAATATGTGGAAGGAAAAAATAAAACCAAATAGTGCTCTCTGTATGCAATAACAGGTGATTGGTAATTTAAAGGTATAATACTCACATGCAGGTGAGCAGGATATACTGCTCACTTTAATAGCGTGGGTGGTATAATCCCCACCTAGGATTCTTGAGTGAGTGGATATTCCAGAGTATTAGATGACCAGGTTAAAAAATAAATAAAATAATATATAAAAAAGGTATATGGCATGGGCAATGTATCAGGGGCCAATATTCCTTTAATGATATATATTAAAAAGGGTAAGAGCAGTAAAAAAACATCCAAAACGTGTTTCGCCACACAGGGCTTCTTCAAATGGCAAGTACTTTTATTCAGTACTTTGTTCCCTTTAAAGCATTTTATGTAAGTACGCATTAGTTTTATTATATCACATTATTTGTGTGGCCATGGGAGATCAAGCATGCCAGGTAAACACTAGACCTTATAGTGGTTTACCCAAAGGTTTGGTGCAAGGTTTGTCTGTGTGAGGTGTTGAGCTCCGATCCAGTCGGCTAACAGGAGTGTGCCTAGCTATTTTGTTCGGTAAGGGATTGGTACTGTGTGGTAAACATATGGAATATACGGGGGGTAGTGTCTTGTGTCTGGGATGTAGAAAGGAGAATATCCTGGCTTACAGTGTAGGGACAACATTTCTGAGTAAAATCATGCCAGGGCTTCAAGCTGTTGAGGTATGAGAGATAGGCATGTGTTAAAGCTGAGTTAATTTCATTCATGACCCTGTAGGACTCGACTTTGTAGACCCATTCTCTGATTGTTGGGGGGTTGTGATTCTTCCATTTGATCGGAATGAATGTGTGTGCTGCTGTAAGCAGGTGGTATAATAGTCTACGTGTTGGGTGGGAAAAGAAAGAAAAGAGTGACTTTCCAGGATAGTGGTAGATGCAGTCCCGTGATCGTGTGGATGAGTTTTATTATTTTGGACTTGGTTCGGGAGGGATCGTATTGAGTGCCAGGTTTTAAGTGTTGAGACTATAATAGGATGGGTTAGATATGTCATTACCACTATGTCCAAATATCTCTCTTGCCATGACACCGTAGGCATGGGTACTAGCAACCCCAGTTTTTTTAGGCAAAGTCAATGGGCTTTGTTCTTAGGGTTGGTCCATTCATAGACTCGTGAGTGTAACTGCTTTATGATATGGTTCCATGTTTGGTAAACTTAGCACTCCTTGAGTTTTGTGGTTAATGGGGACTTTTAGGGATAGTCTGGGGTGTTTGTGTGCCCAGATGAACGTGCTGAATAGTCTATTAATGGAGGAAAAGAAGGACTTGGGTAGCACGATAGGTAATGTTTGCAATAGATATAATATGTTTGGGAGGATATTCATTTTTGAAATGTGCACACAGTAGAGCTAGCTAAAGAGTGGTTTGTCTCAGGATTTTAGCAGGGATGAGATGGAATGAATGAGAGGAGGGAAATTTAGATCATATGTTTTATGAAGGTCTCGTGGTAGTTTTACACCCAGGTATTTGACCGCCTCTTTTGCCCATTGGAATTGGTATTGTTGTTTGAGTATGGCCTTAGTGTGTTGGTCTAATTGTAAGGGTAGTATTTTGCTTTTAGTGAAATTCACTTGAAAGTTGGAGAAGCTATCATATAGTGAAATCTCTTCGAGAAGTGGGGGCATGGAGCATACAGGGTCTGTAATTGTGAAGAGTAGGTCATCAGCAAAACCTGCTACTTTGAATTCCTGATGGTTGGCAGTGAGGCCGTGAATGTTGGGGTTGTTGCAGATACCCTGTACAAATGGTTCCATTATGAGGATGAAAAGGAGGGGGAAGAGGGGGCACCAATGTCTCGTGCCATACCTAGGTCGGGTAATTGACCATTTATCCTGATCCGGGCACTCAGTGATGAGTAGATGGCCTTCACCCAGCTCAACCAATTAGGCCCAAAACCCAACCCCCTCAGAGTCTCCATGAGAAGGGACCAGTCCACCCTGCCTTTTCAGCATCTATGGGAAGTAGGAGGCAGTTTTTACAGTGGAGTTTAGGAATATGTATAATGTTGAGCATTTTGGTTGTGTTATGTTTCGTCTCTCTTTCGGGGACATAACCTGTCTGGTCAGGGTGGACCAGCCCCCTCAATAGTGGTTTTAGTCTGTAGGCCAGAATTTTAGATCTTTAGATCTATGTTAATCAGGGAAATCGGTCGGTAACTGCCACATACTGTAGGTTCTTTCCCTGTTTTGGGTATTAAGGAAATGTGGGCCTCGAGCGACGAGTCTGGGAGGGGGACAGAGTGGAGAAAGGCATTATAGGCTGAGACAAAGGGTTTGGAAAGTTTCCCATCAAATTATTTGTATTATCTAGCTGTGAAGCTTTCTGGTCCAGGACTCTTACCTAGGGGTAAGTGTTTGACCACAGTTAGGTATTCGTCTGTCATGACTGGAGATCCTAAAGTTTGAATTTCCATGTTGGTTATGGTTTGGGTGATTATGTTGGAAAGGAATCTCTCAATGTCAGTTTTGTTGGGGGGTGTTTCATGTACATTGTAAAGATTTGCGTAAAAGTTCTGGAATGCTTTTAGGATGCCAAGGAGTTTGTGTTTTATGCTACCGTCGTGTATTTTTATCTTGGAAATAAAGGTAGATTGTCTGTCGGATTGTAACATCCGTGCTAACAGTCGACCACATATACCACCCTAAGAATAATATTTGTGTTTCATTAGAAGCAATTTTTTCTTAGTGTGGGTAAGTAGAAGTTGTTGGAGGGATGTTCTTTTTCTATTTGTTTTTTGTAAATGTCGAGTGCTAGATCTTGTTTGTGGATCTGTTCCAAGTCCCTGATCTCTGATATCAGCAAGTTTTTTTGGTTGTCTCTTTGCGTTTAGCTGCTAGAGCTATGATGTAGCCTCTGAGCACCAATTTATGGGCCTCCCAAACAATAGTCCAGGAGGTATCCTGTGGTGGATTGTCTTGGAAGTAATTGGATATGATTTCAGTGAGTTAGGAGACCATGAAGGGGTCGTTGAGCAGTGTATCATTTAGTTTCCATTGAGGAGATCTGAGTGGCAAGGGTGGGATCAGGATGGCTAGAGACAGGGGTGCGTGGTCGGACCAGGTTATGGAGCCATATGTACAGGATTGTATGAGGTGAAGGAACCGATGCGGGTGAAAGAGCATATCTATCCTAGAATAGGTGCCAGAAGGGTGCGAGAAAAAGTAAAAAATATTTTGCTTGCAGGTGTGTAATGCGCCAGGTGTCAAATAATTGGGATGTGTCTAAGAGAGGGTGGATGCTCTTCCTGGCTGTGGATTGGTAAGATCTGGTGGAGGACGTAATGTTCATGTTGGAGTCTAGGGATATATTAAGATCGCCCCCAGTGATTAGTATGCCTTCCTCGAAAGAGTCTACAACCTTCAAGTTTTTTCTCAAAGCCCCAAATTTTTTTGTATTGGGTAGGTATATGTTCACTAGCGTCACCACGTTCTGACCAATTTGTCCCTTACCATGACTAGTCTCCATGAATTGTCTGTGAGGTGATCCTTGTAGGTAAATGGGACATGGGATGCTATAAGTATTGCTACTCCTCTAGTTTATGTGGTAGCGCTGAGGTGCCGCGTGAGCCGGGCCTGGATATAGAGTCCTGCGGGAGGCCCAGGACCTCTAGTAGGGCGGCTGCCTCCATCAGATCTCGAACCACATGGGTAACATCACCCTGCATGACCTGTAACATTCTTGGGGAGCACCATCGATATCGAGTGTCTCTGTTTCGGAGCAATGTCGTGAAGGGTTGCAGGGATTTTCTCCATTTAAGTGTGTCTCCAGAAAGGTTGGCGTAGAAAGTAAGTGCCATGCCCTCAAATTCGTATGGTGACGTTCCCTTTAGTGCTGCTATGACTGCTGCCTAATCCCCATTGCAGGTAAAATGTATCACGATGTCGCTAGTGGCGGATTCCAGTGCTCTCTGTGGTTTTGGGATTCGGAAGGTCCCATCAATGTTGACGCTTTTGGCCCATTTTGGAGTCAGCAAGGCCCCTATCAGTCTCTGTGCCAGGTGTGGGAGTTCTGCTGCTGGTAGGTCGTCTGGGACGCCACGTACCTTGATGGTGTTGCGGCACAGGGAGTCTTCCAGGAGTGCAAACCGCTGCTCAAAGGTAAGTTGTTGTTTTTTAAGGCATCGCACTTCGTCTTCCAGGGAGGTGAGTCGTTGGGACTGTTGTGTGGATGTTGCTTACACTGTCTCTATGCGACCCACAAGACCTGAGAGGTCTGAGCGGAAGGAAGCCACATCGGCCTGAATGGTTTTCTGAAGGCTGGCGAGCAGATCCTTCAGGACGGACATTGTCATGGGTTGGGCGTTATCTCCTCAAGGGACAGCCGGGGGTGGAGGTAAAGGTGGTATATTTGTCCCCCTGTCTGGCAGCATTTCCTCAGAAGAATCTGAAAAGTCGTCGTGTTCGGTGGCCATCTTGGGTCCGCTAACTCCGTGCGCTTGTCTCAGGAGATCCCTGATATTCATGCTGGTCCTGGGCGTCGGGTTTTTGTTTTTTTGTCTTGCGACCCATTGTGAGTGTGGATGCTTGTTTTTCCTGGTTACGGGTCACCGGAGGGTTTTGGAAGATGTTAATATCGCTGGGTATTACAGAGCTCATGAGATGTGCGCCCGTCTCGCTCGGCTGCTTGGCTCCGCCCCCATATATATATTTTGTGTATATTGTTTTGAATTTTATATATATATATATATATATATTTTGTAGAGTTTTATAGCAGTAAAGAGGGGTAGGGGAAGATGAGCGGAGAGGTGGGAGGAAAGGGAAAGTGGTGTGAAAGCCCTGATGGTAAGGTGTGGTACTTATCGTATGAGTTAAGTCATTCTTTTTATATCATGCTAATTATAGACTCAACTTTCAAGGATTCCAATAACAGGCGATGTCTTTACCACCATTTTCTGCCAATGCCACCTTAGTATGTGACAGTAAGCCTTGTTCCCTGAAAACCTTTATAGCCATACCACTATTTGCTTTATTCTTATCATACCTACATGTTGATCTAGTTTTAATGTTCCACCATATCCCCAGAGCGGTGCCTTACTATTCTTTTTTGCCTCCTGCTGGAATATGGTGTCCCCTATTGCTGTATCATGAACTAGTGTATGTTATTTTTCTTATGTTGTATTCTATCCTCACCTATG